TCATTTCCCATTATTAAATCCCTCTTCTCATCCTCTAAGGGACCATTGTTTACCTTAGCCACTTTTTCTCATTTTATATATTTGTAGAAACGTTTGCTATCTGTTTTTATATTCTGAGCTAGTTTACTCTCATAATCCATCTTACCTTTCTTTGTAGCATTTCTCGTGGCTTTCTGTTGATCTTTAAAGATTTCCCAATCCCCTTGTTTCCCACTAATCTTTGCCACTTTGTATACATTAGCTTTCAATTTGTTACTCTCCTTTTCTTCCTTAGTTATCCATGGGTGATTATCCCTTCTCCTACTATCCTTCCTTTTCAATGGCATATACTTTTGTTGAGCGCTCAAAATTCGCTATAAAAGTCCTCCACTGTTCCTCAATTGTACAACATCTAGTCTTGACTCCCAGTTTACCTTAGCCAATTCCTCCCTCATCCCATTGTACTCTCTTTTGTTTAAACACAAAACACTGGTGTTGGATTTTAACTTCCCGCTCTCCATCTGTATTTTAAATTCAACTATACCGTGATTGTTCCTTCCAGGAGGATCCCTAACTGTGAGATCATTAATTATTCCTGCCTTATTACACTGGACCAGATCTAGGATAGCTTGTTCCCTTGTAGGGTCCATCATATACTGTTCAAGGAAACTATCGCAGATACGTTCTATGAACTCCTCCAAGGCTGCCTTGACTGACTTAGTTTGACTAATCAATATGTTGTTTAAAATCCCAAATGATAATTGCCATACCATTTTTACATGCATCGGTTATTTCTTCGTACATTGCCCGCCCCACTGTGATGTTATTATTTGGTAGCCTATAGACTATGCCTATTAGTGACATTTTCCCTTTACTATTTGTAATTTCCACCCTCATTGATCCAACCTTTTTCTCCATAGAACCTATAACATCCCTCACTACTGCCCCGATGTCATCCTTAGATATCAGAGCTACACCACCTCCCTTTCCTTTCTGATGTGTCCTTCCAAATAGTCCGATACCCCTGGATATTTAACTCCCAGTTGTGAACACACTGCAACCATGTCTCTGTAATGATCGCTAAATTATACCCGTTTGCAGTGATTTGTGCCATCAACAGATTTACCTTGTTTCTAATGCTGTGACCATTCAGCTAAAGTGCCCTTATGCTAGTTTTTATATCTTCTTTTTGAATGCTAACAAAGAACCTTTGTTTTTAAACACTCACTTTTTCTGTCACTATGTGGTATCCACTTATCTTAGTGCTTTACAGCTCAGCTGCTTCTTCCTTTTTATTTACTATCTTCTCTTTTTCCTTAAGCCCTCACCCACTCTAGCCTCTCGTTAGGGAGATAGGAACCTATCAACATCCTAGGAGATACCATTAACCAGAAACTGAACTAAACTTGTATAAATACTGTTGCTACAAAAGTAAATCAGAGGCTAGGAATCTGCAGCAAGCAACTCACCTCCAGACTCCCTAAAATTCTGTCCACTTATAAGGCACAAGTCAGGAATGTGATGAAATACTCCCACTTGTCTGGATGAGTGCATCTCCAACAACAACAACAAAGAAGCTTTACACCACCCAGGACAAAGCAGCCCACTTGATTGGCACCACATCCAGAAACAATCACTCCCTCTGTCACTGACATTCAGTAACAGCAGCATGCACATCTATAAAATGCACTGCAGAAATTCACCAATGCTTCTTAGGCAGCATTTTCCTAATCCATGACCAGTATCATCTCGTGGGACAAGGACAGCATGGGAACATTGCCCTTCAAGTTCCCCTCCAAGCCAGTCAGCATCCTAACTTGAAAATATATTGACGTTCCTTAAGTATCACTGGGTTAAATCCTGGAACCTCCCCTCCTAAATAGCATTATGGGCTTATCTGCACCAATGGACTACAGTAGCTCAAGAGACAGATGAGCTCCAATTTCTCAAGGGCAACGGGGATGGGTGAAAATCCTGGCCCAATCAGCAATGCCCATATCTCACGAATGAATAATAAGAAAATTAACCCTGTTCTATGACAATGAATGTTACATTTTACTAAGTTCTACTGAAGTCATGATCAAAATTAGCTACATCAGAAATCCTGCATCATAAGACATTAAGTTGAAGTTAGAACTGAAGGAAATGAAAATTTTTCTGTTGACCAGCAAAACAAGGTGACACAGTGGATTTTTCCCCACCAACTGATAGGTGGTGCCTCTCTCTGTACTCTATCCACTTATGCAATAGTACCCCCTAGTAATCAGAATTAGACATTTGCTTCCTTAGCAAAGGTGTTCTTCAATTTCTTTAAAGATAACTTGTTAACAATTTGCTTGACCAGGCCTGACATAAATCATTAAGGTGTCTTAATTTACAGCTGGCAATCATTTACCACCTTCTAACCCAGGTTTAACGGAGGCTGCAGTAGCCATATTGATCTGTGCACCCACCTATGGACTCACCCTGAGTGGAACAGAGTCATCCTTGTCTGCGAGGGACCGTCGATGAGGTGACCCCCTTAGCAACTATTCATTCTCCTCGGTTGACCGTTATCTACTCCTTTGTCAGTCCAACTGTTCTCTCTTTTTAGGCTCTATCTCACCTATCATTTACTCCTTAGCCCCCCACCCATCCCACTACCCTATCTTCTGCATAAAAACCAATACTTTCCTAGCTATCATCAGTTCTGAAGAAGTCACTGGACCTGAAACATTAACTCTGATTTCTCTCCACAGATGCTGCCAGACCTGCTGAGATTTTCCAGCAACGTTTGTTTTTGTTTCTGACTTCCAGCATCTGCAGTTCTGTCAGTTTTGATTAAAGCAATTCCACTGTCCCTGATCAGAACGATCATGCCGTTTCAAGAATATTTCTACATTTCACGCAAGTAGCCTTCTGTTAACACATCACAAGGACGAGTTTATTTTTTTTAAATGCTTATTCTTTTATTTTGGTTCTTTTGCTCCTCTACTCTTTCTTTGGTCACCTTTTGAAAATCGGTTGTCTTTAACTGAGACTATTATTTATTATTTTACCAATTGAGTAAATTCACAGAACATTAACAAGGTAACACATTAGCATTCGCTTCCCTACACCATTATCCATGCACCTTTACACCACACGTATGGTGCAATTTGGAGGATGCAGTGTAAGAATCAAGTGTGGCTTGGTCACAGAGGCACCACTCCAAATATTTCTGCGCTCAACAAAACTCAGGGTCTCTTCTTCCTTTGAAATTGCTGGAGGATGGGAGAAGGTGGTTTATGCACCAATAATGGCAAAAGCCATTGTATATTTCTGCAACATTCTCACGCCACATGTCCGAATTGACAGCACGATTAAACAAACATCTGGCGCTCATCGCCCCAGCTCTTAAGACCTGGAGGAGGACAAGCAGCATCCGAGAACAAATCCCAAAGGGGTAACACAGGAACGTCAACTTTCCTGCTCCTCTGATGCTGCCTGGCCTACTGTGTTCCTCCAGCTCTACACTGTTATCTCTGACTCCAGCACCTGCAGTTCTTACTGTCTCTGAGTAAGTTAAAATCCCAAAGGGGAACTGACGAAACTCCAACCTAATCATTCCAATTCATAAAGGGGAGAGAGGAAGAAATTTGAGATAACAAGGTGTAGAGCTGGATGAACACAGCAGGCCAAGCAGCATCAGAGGAGCAGGAAAGCTGACATTTTGGGTCTAGACCCTTCTTCAGAAATGGGGGAGGGGAAGGGGATTCTGAAATAAATAGGGAGAGAGGGTGAGGCGGATACAAGATGGATAAAGGAGAAGATAGGTGGAGAGGAAACAGGTCAAAAAGGCAGGGGTGGAGCCAGTAAAGGTGAGTGTAGGTGGTGAGTTAGGGAGGGGACAGGTCAAGGGAGAAGGATGAGGCTAGTAGGTAGGAGATGGGGGTGGGGCTTGAGGTGGGAGGAGGGGATAGGTGGGAGGAAGGACCAGTTAGGGAGGCAGGGACAAGCTCGGCTGGTTTTGAGATGCGGTTGGGGGAGGGGAGATTTTGAAGCTTGTGAAGTCCACATTGATACCATTGGGGTGCAGGGTTCCCAAGCGAAATATGAGGTGCTGTTCCTGCAACCTTCGGGTGGCATCGTTGTGGCACTGCAGGAGGCCCAGGATGGACATGTCGTCTAAGGAGTGGGAGGGGGAGTTGAAATGGTTCACGACTGGGAGGTGCAGTTGTTTGTCGTGAACCGAGCGTAGGTGTTCCACAAAGCGGTCCCCAAGCCTCCGCTTGGTTTCCCCAGTGTAGAGGAGGCCACAACGGGAACAGCGGATACAGTATACCACATTAGCAGATGTGCAGGTGAAGATCTGTTTGATGTGGAAGGTCTTCTTGGGGCCTGGGATAGGGGTGAGGGTGGAGGTGTAGCACTTCCTGCGGTTGCAAGGAAAAGTGCCCGGTGTGGTGGAGCTGGAGGGGAGTGTGGAGCGGACAAGGGAGTCACGGAGAGAGTGGTCCCTCCGGAAAGCAGGTAAGGGTGGGGAAGGGAAAATGTCTTTGGTGGTGGGGTCGGATTGCAGATAGCGGAAGTATCGGAGGATGATGCATTGGATCCGGAGGTTGGTGGGGTGGGAAGAAATTTGCCCGGTTAATCATCTTATACCCAATGATCGCCTACTCAATTCAAGAAAGTGAACTAGTCTCTTACTCCATCTTCTTGTCCTTCTCCCGGTATTCAGCTTCGCTCACACAAGCAAGCGCAACTTTTCAACAGCCGTTAATTCTGGTCCCGCCCATCCACGACGTGATCGGACTGTTGGTTGGTCGATTCTGACTTCTGAGATAACAAGGTGTAGAGCTGGATCAGGCGGGTCTAGACCCCCAGCTCTACACCTTGTTATCTCAGATTTTCCAGTATCTGCAGTTCCTACTATCTCCGGTTCTGACTTCTGTTTGGTTCTTGGACTCGTCGATCATAATACACCTACTCAATCGAGTGCAGCTGACATCGTCGGACGCGGCGCTCGTTCGATTACTCAGGTCTAACCATTCCGGTCAGTTCAATTTGAAGCGGGAGCAGTTTGAACAGAGCGGCTGGAGTTGAGTGAAGGTGGTCATTGGGCTCTGGTCAGGACCGGGGCCGGCTTCCACTCGGGCTACAACATGAGCTAATCATCAGGAAAACGACTTATTCCGCTGTCGCGCGAACCGAGGTCTGGGAGCTGGGGATGGAGAAGTCTCTAAATTGTGAAGGTTTTTTTTTGCAGAAGAGCTCCCTGTCATTCGGTGAACTTTGCAAACTGGCAAGCAGAAGTTAGAGAATGCTGGAAACCAGGGGATTAAACTTGGAGGGTTATGAAAACAGCAAACCGACCCCCCCACCTCCTCCGTACAGAATGCTTGTTTATTTTCCAGGGTTCAATTATATTTGAAACGCGAATCTCTCTAAACTGTCACTCACAGGCCAGCCGTGTATTACCAGTATTTCCCAGTTTCTAAAATGCAGAATTGGCGCATGTGCTAGCCGTTAGTGTTGCAAACGATGTCAAGTTTTTGGTATTTCAGAAATATGGTCGGTCTCTCTCTCTCTCTCTCTCTCTCCCCCTCCCCCCTAGTTTCTGGTATGACTGCATCAGCTGCTTTTATCTAGCCGTTCTTCTTGTACCAGACGGTTAAGAGCAGAAAGTGTTAACTGATCTCATAAGTAGCTCTGCCCATCAGGATATAAGGGACTCCAGCTCTACAGTCTGCTGTACCAGCCTCCAGTATATATTCTTAACGCCAACAGCATATAATGAAAATAGTAATGTGTATTTTCTCAAGTTGAGCCTGATGCCTCTCAGACAATCATGTATTTTGATGTAATATAACTAGTTATTAAGTAAATGTAATAAGTGTTTACTGTCTAATCAAGATAGAGCCTATCTTCTACCTGAGGTATTGTATGGGCATCCTTTGCATCAGTAACCTGACTAATGCCAGCAAGAAGGATTGATGGTGGTGAATCTAACCAAGATATCCCACGTGGTTCTGGCCAAAAGAATCAATTTATGATGTGCTGGCATACAATATTGGAATTCATAAGAAATTACTTCTTACATTGTCATATTTAGAAATAAAAGTCAATTAGTTCTGTTTTATTTAATTAGCAATGATTAGTGCTGGCATTAATACATTTTGATGCAGTGCATGATAGTGTTAAGGAGTAGTTAAAATATCTGTTGCAAGTACTCCTCCCAATTTTTAGGCACCAATAATCACCTCTTCAATTACTTTTTAAATTCTTGAACCTTCTGAGACCAATGAAGCTGGGATTGTTTCCTAGGATGGAGAAGGTAAGGGAAGATTTAATACTATGTGCTTCATCTTCCAATATGACCAGTAGGCAGGCAAAAATTAACTCTACATGAACAGCATCTAACTTAGTACAAATGTTAGAGTATCTCTATAGACTGAATTAAACAGTCTTTAGAGCCACACAATTTTAGTGCTCTGTTTATCACTGCAACTGACCCTCAGCAACCCATTACATAAATTTCAATGCTCAATAAGGAATTTATGTAAATTTTAGTCTGTTGTTTTTGTAGGTTAGTTGATCAGAGTACCACATTATGGTTCCTACTCCTAGAACAAATAAAGTTCAAGAAGTAGATGGCACTCCATGCCATGGGTGCAGGAACCTCCAAAGAGGAGTAAAAATACAATCTCGGCAACTCTTTGTAAACAGATTGGAAAGCATGGAGACTCCTAATCTGAAAGGCAGGACTGCTTTTATTCCACGGCAGCGATTGGTGACTCCCCTGATTTCGAACACATTGAATCATCTAATGTAAGTATTGCAATTAACTATGGAAAATCAATCAAAAAGCCTAGCTGTTTGCTGAATGTTCTTGCTGATCTCTTAAATATTTTATTGCATTTGTATAGAGTTTTTTTTTATCACATTCAAAACCTCTCAAACTCTGAATAAATTGCTTTCTGCACTGCACTTACTGTTTATATGGGGAACCTATTGTCCTTAAGCATGTCTAAATTTTACAAAAACATTCATATCAATGTGTGCTTTGCATGTATTAGTTAACAACAATATTTACCTGCAAGATATTGGCATTGCTCCCTTTTTATTTATGTAGGATATAACATTGAATTCTAAAAAGGCTTTCAGTAGCACCTTCCAAATCTGGACAAGAGCAGCAGTAAAATCGCTCTCTTGAGTTTTTCCTCTCAACTTTTCCATTCTTCCCTCATAGTGCAATTCTTTTTCTCCAGCGCTAGAATGTTTCAGTAATCAGAACAAGAGACGCAACTCATGATGTTGTCTAACCAGAGAACTGTTAGTGCAGTTTGATTGAAACTTTTGCCACTTGTACTCCATTTCAGTCATGTAGTTTTGATGTTGGATTTAGTCATTACTACTTTGCAATGGTTCAGTAAGGTTAGCATTGAGTTTACTGAGACTGCTCTTTTAGGTATACCTGTACCGTTCAGCATCATTAGTGCCTTTTTTTTCTTTTCCATACACAATCATTTTACATTTGTTTGCTTGAAAATTCACCTGTTATATTTCTCTCCACATCTCTATATTGTCCATCTCAATCTGACTTGAGCTGTCTTCCCTGAATCTACTGCATCTATTTTGGTTCCAGCTGCATGTTTGAGCATTTGTATTAAGGTAACAAGTCAATTAGTAAGTTTGACAGCCTAACAGTCGGTGCTGAGAGATCCATTCAGTACAACCGTCACCCCAATATCAATCCACTAATGCGTGCTCGTTCTTTTTTTTTTACCCACCAGTCATTTAACAATTTACATTTCCCAGGATTTTACATGAATGACCACAGCTTTGAATTTAGTAAACAGCCTTTTGTGTGGGTCTTCCTCAAATGTTTTAGAAGCTTGGGTGCATCAGAAATTTTAGATTGGCAGGTGATCTTGCTGTCCATTATTAACTAGGTCACAGATAATACTCGTGTTTCCTGGTTAGGATAATCAGTTCTTTTTATTTTATATGGAGTAGAAGATAGAACGGGTTTGCATAGACCACTGGCCTGTAATCCAGGAGAGTAGACTAAATGGGAGTTACTTAAAATTAATGTCATGTCTAACAAGGGAAATCTCACTTCTTCATTGCTTCTCTTGTGCCAATCTTCTGCCCTTTATCTATACAGCTGCACACCATTTCTATCCACTGTATGTAGCCTGTGCCCTTGAAATGATTTGGTAAGAGTCGTAGGACTGATTTTTCTCTTGAAGAAGGGAAATTAGCAGTAATGGATTGATCACTAGTTTAGCATCTAGCTTAAAAAAAATTGCAACCAACCAACGCACTGCACTTGTTGCCGTCACCATGGATGAAGGTTAAAATCGATCCTGATATCTTTTTACATTTTTATAATAAGAATGCGATAAAGGATCGCTAGACTTGAACCATTAAGAGTGTATACAGAAAATAGATGCTGCCAGACTTGCTGTGATGTTTCTCTAACACTCTCTTTTTTGACACAGTTCCAGCATCTATAGTTCTTTGTTTATTTTGTAAAATTAGTCACTTTTTCTTTTCTTCAATGTTCTTTGTATAGCTCTAGTGTTGAAAACAGCCAAAGAAAGTCAGAGAAACCAGTCAGCCCAAATCTTGAGATGCTTAGAATGACACCAGGTATGTTGGTTGTTTGATAAAATCTTACTACTTCAGATCCGATGTCACAAAGTAGAAGGTCCTTGTTATTTTCTTAAATTATTGTAGAGTTTAGAAGAATGAAATATGAAACAAAAGATTATTTGGGGTGCTTGATGGGTAAATGTTGAGAGGTTCTTTTTTTTCCCTTCGTGGGAAAATCTGCGAACCTAGGGCATAATCTTAGAATGTGGGGTCATCCAATTAGGACAGGAAAATAGTGAATCTCTGGAATCCTTTTACAATTGAGAGCTGTCAAGGCTGGGTTTCTAAGTATATTCAAGGCTGAAATAGATTTTTAATCAGTGAGGGGATCAAGGACTATGGGGAAAAGGCAAGAAAGTGGAGTTGAGGGCTATCCGATCACTGGTCTTAATGAATAATGGAGCAGGCTTGATGGGTTGAGTGGCCTACTGCTTCTGTGTCTTATGGTCTGTACATCCAGGTAGTGAAGGTTGGCACCAAAGCCAACCTTTTAAAGCCTTTAAGTATTTATTTAGAGATCTATATTACAAATATCAATTTCTCACTCCCCACTCTTTTAGTCTGTTCCTTTTTGCATTTCTCTTGATCCAACCAGCAAATTTCCAATATAGAGAAAGCTGGTGCTCATTAATACGTGAAGAAGAACAAAAACTTTTAACTAATTTACTGAAAGTAATATTTCCAGAAATGATGTTGCATTCCATCCCCTCTGAGGCCCAGTGGTCATAGAAGGTGTCAAGGGAATCTGGGTGGATGATTTCTCTAATGAATCTGTTCGGAGTTATGACGTATCTCTGGAGCAGGTGGAACTTGAATCTGGACCACCTTGCCAAGGGTAGGACACTATCGCTGGACGTTAGCTGGGTACAGAAGAGACTTTTGGGCCAAACAACTTCTACTTGCCATTATTAATGGCCAACCCTGAATTGAACCAGAGAGACCCACAAGGACTTCCTTCAATATACCCATTTCCATCTGCAACTGGTGATCATACATCAGTGTGACATTGAAACAAATTGAAATTCAGGAGCAATTTCTTCACCTCTGATAGTGAAGCAAGAACTATAACCATGAACATCCTTACTTTGATATGAAGTATGGATTCCTCCAGGCACATAAATTGCAGGTGTGCTGGGACACTCTGCAATTAATTGTTTAGTCAATTTGGTGAACTGTCATGTATAACTCTTGCCATGTCAAACCTGTTTTTTTGAAAAGGGAGACCTCCCAACAGTAACCTCCACGACCTCTGCATGGCAGAGTAGGAATGCCATAGTACATGCAGACAGCTGATTGAAGCAGTAGAGTGTGCTAATCCCTGTATAAGAACATTTTCCGTGCAGCATAGAATGGAACAGAGTAGATTTCCAAATGATAGTTCCAGTTGTGAGGCCGACACACCAAAGGAGGTTTCTGCTCCCTGATGAGAACACTTCCAAACTGGTGTGAACACACCTGAACCACTTGACGCGGAGTGCAGTTGAGATTGATCATCAATTTTCACATTCTTGATAGTTTTGGCTGTTAGCCGATGCTACTGAAAAATGTATGCAAGTTCTTCTAGCAACAACTATCCTACTCTTCTGCCATCCAGTTCACCCTGACTTTGGTATACGAATATATAATGATGGAGGTTTCCTGAGCAACTGCTTCAAGAGGATTGTCACCACTCCAAATGGTAGGGAGTTTCAACTGGAGGTAACCATGTTCCAGACCCTGATAAAAGACAAGAAGCTCCTGCCAAGGGGCCTGAAGACCAAGCACTAAGTTTACAAACTAGAGCTGTGTGTCATAATTGAGGCGGTGCAATTGATGGAAGTTGGCTGTAGTCATGGACCACTAAGCCAACATCTACTCTGGGTCTGACACGGTTGTAGGCACAGGGTTTCACAGGACACCGCTTGTAGACTCATATGTGGATATGTATCGCATGCCCTGCGGGGTTAACCTGTAGGCTCTTGTATCACATCTCCTTTCCCTGGAGACACTTACTGACCACCACCACCCGCCACCCCCCCCACCGTCTGTCAACTGCAGAGATTCTGGTCACCAATAGCATGGCAGAGGATTCGGATATGGAAAATATGCAGGGTGGGAGGGGTGATGGCATAAGCATCAACTGCTTTGGTTGATTCAGTAAACCAAGGGATATGAATGATTTTATTTCCATCTTCGAAAAACCATGGTGCCACACATCATCAAACAGCCAGAGACTTGGGAAGTGGCCCCTGGTGTTGTGTCCTGAAGGCTTCATCTATATCATTCCTCCTGCATTACCTACATAAATACATGGCTAGAAATGGATGATGTGCCAAAGGCTGGTCTCATCAAAGCTAAGCAGGTCTGATACTCTTCGTAACCTTGCCTCCACAAGTATTCCAAAGTGTTGAGAGGAACGAGTTCAGCTGGATATAGTACAGGAACTCTGAGGTAAAAATCTGCTGCATGAGCCCTGTCTTGAGAACTCATTATTCCAGCTGCTCATCCTTCAGAAAGGGCACAGCCTTTCTATATATCTTTGAGACAGTTATAAAGGCTGACAACCATAGACACAGCCACAGCCACAATACCCCATGCCTTTTTTTGTAATTTAAGATGAATGGTGATAAGGCTGCGAAAGCAGTGGAGTTGGAGGCAGCCATTTGATTTATAGGCCACTGCAGAATTGTGAAAGTGGAGTCGCCGTTGAAGGTTTCTAAGTAACACTCACTCAGTCTTGGACTTGATGCTTCTGATGACAGCCTTTTTCTGTACAGAATGGCATTGAAAAGGATAATGTGCATTTCTTCCCCCTGCCCTAAGCAGTTCTGCACAAGCAAAGTTGTGGCGTAATCCAAAGACCAAACTGATGCTATGAGGACAAAGTTCAAATCCCGCCACTGAATAAAGATTTGGAGTTAAAAATCTAATTTCTATAATGATGACTGTGAAATCATGTCATTTTCTTAAAAAAAAATCTGGTTCACTAATGTCCTTTAGTGAAGGCAATCAACTTTTCTGGTATGTGATTCTGTACCCATCCTGGTTTCTGAAATGGCCCTAGAAAACCACTCAGTTCAGGGCAATTAGGGATTTTTACCAGTGACATCCACATCCTGTGAAAGAAAAAAGGAGAATAAAATGTTCTTAAAATATAACACAATTGGACCTCAGGTTGTTTTAGAAATGTAGAAAAAAAGATGCGGGAGTAAGCCATTTGGCCCTTCAAGCCTGCATCACCATTAATTATGATCATGGCTTATTGTGCATTTCAGTAACCCATTCCCGTTTTCTCTTCGTGCCCCTTAATCCCTTTAGTCACAAGAGCCACGTCCAGCTGCCTCTAGATTATATCTGACGAACTGGTCCCAACAACTTTCTGTGGTAAAGAATTCCACAGGTTCAAAACTGAGTGAAGATATTGTTCCTTATCTCAATCCTGAATGGCTCAACCTTATTCTCACTGTGACCCCTAGTTCTGGACTTTCCCAACATCGCAAACATTCTTCCTGTATCTAGCCTGTCCAGTCCCATCAGTATTTTGTATGTTTCTACGAGATCCCCTCCTCATTCTTCTAAATTCCTGTGAGTACAAGCCCAGTCGATCCAGTTTTTCTCCATAAGTCAGTCCTGTCATCCTGAGAATCAGTGTGGTGAGCCTTCGCTGGGCTTCCTCAATTGCAAGAATGTCCTTCCTCACACTAGAGTACTAGAGCTGTACAACATGGAAACAGACCCTTCAGTCCAAGTCATCCATGCTGACTGGATATCCTAAATAAATCTAATCCTATTTGCCTGCTTTTGGCCCATATCCCTCTAAACCCTTCCTACTCATATACACATCCAGATGCCATTTAAATGCTGTAATCCTACCAGCTGCCTCCACTTCCTCTGGCAGTTCATTCCATGCACAAACCACCCTCTGCAAGAAAAAGTTGCCCCTTAGGTCCCTTTTAAATCTTTCCCCTCTCAGCTTAAACCGATACCCTCTAGTTTTGGACTCCCCTACCCTGAGGAAAGTACCTTGTCTATTTACCCTATCCGTGCCCTTCATGATTTTATAAACCTCCATAAGGTCACCCCTCAGCCTCTGCTCTAGGGAAAATAGCATCATCCTATACAGCCTCTCAGGAGACCAAAACTGCACACAATACTCAAGGTGTGGCCTCACCAAGGCCCTGTATAACTGCAGCAAGACATCCCTACTTCTATACTCAAATCCTCTTGCTATGAAGACCAATGTGCCATTAGCTTACCTCACTGCCTGCTGCACCTGCATACCAATCTTCAGCGACTGTTCCACCATAAGACCCAAGTCTCATTGCACCTCACCTTTTTCTAAACTGCCACCATTCAAATTATAATCTGCCTTCCTGTCTTTGTGACCAAAGTGGATAACCTCACATTTGTCCATATTATATTGTATTTGCCCACTCAGCCGGCATGTCCGAGTCAACCTGTAAATTCTTAGCACCCTCCTCACAGCACGTACTGTCACCCGGCTTAGTGTCGTCTGCAAATTTGGAGATAATGCATTCAATTCCTTTGTCCAAATCAACCACTTCCTCTGGCAGCTCATCCCAAACACGCATCACCCTTTGCGTGGAAAAAGTTGCCCCTTACGTCCCTTTTAAATCTTTCCCCTCTCAGCTTAAACCGATACCCTCTAGTTTTGGACTCCCCTACCCTGGGGAAAATACCTTGTCTATTTACCCTATCCGTGCCCTTCATGATTTTATAAACCTCCATAAGGTCACCCCTCAGCCTCTGACAGGGGAAATAACCCCAGCCTATCTAGCCTCTCCCTATAGCGCAAACCATCCAACCCTGGCAACATTCTTGTAAATTTCTTCTGAACCATTTCAAGTTTCACCACATCTTTCCTACAGCAGGGAGACCAGAATTGTATGCAGTATTCCAAAAGTAGCCTAACCAATGTCCTGTACAGCTGCAACATGACCTCTCAACTCCTGTACTCCATGCACTGACCAATAAAGGCAAACATACCAAAGAGCACCTTCACTATCCTGTCTGCCTGGGACTCCACTTTCAAGAAACTATGGACCTGTGGTGCTTATGGCATGTGTCTATACATCTTACGAAATACTGAAAAACTGAATGTTCTACCAAAAAAGTTCACTAAAGATACATTCTGGATTCAGAGAAAAATCAACTGTAAATGGTGAATTGGAAGGGAACCCAAATCATTATTAAAGGTCTGGTGGGATCTTTAACTACGAGTTAAAATGTTTCTTTCATTTCATTGTCTATTTAAAGGCTGGCTTTGAGGGAACAGTGCTGTATCAGGCTCCCTGTTAAGTTCGGTCTTGTGCTGTCCTTCATACATGTTGAGTAGAAGCAGTGTTGGTGAATCCAGCAGCAGCTCCCAAGAATCATTAGAATGACGGATCTCCATGATTAATTGTTCGTACAAAGGAATGTTACATTGATGTCACTAAATGAAATCAAAAGTGAAAGTACCCTTTTGGCATCGTTCACAGTTCTAACATACTACAATACTTTATAAATGTTTCAAAGATTCTGCTTTTCTTGTTTGGCTGCATTTTAGATGCTGACTTTACAGCAAACATCAAGCAATTGGAACTTATCCCTACTGTTTAATCGATGCTACTTCAGTGCATCTGATAATCACTGGAATTCCTACAGTGTGGAAGCAGGCCATTTGGCCCATCGCATCCACACCGACCTTTGAGGAGCATCCCACCCAGACCCACCCCCTGCATTTCCCACCCTAGACACTATGGGCAATTTAGCATGACCTAACCTGCACATCTTTGGACTGAGAGAGGAAACTGAAGCACCTGGAGAAAACCCGCACGGGAGAACGTGCAAACTCCACACAGACAGTCGACCGAGGCCGGTATCAAACCCAGGTCCCTGGCACTGTGAGGCAGCAGTGCTAACCACTGAGCCACCATGCCTTGTTCACTTTAGCTGACATGAACTGTCAGGGTTGTATTTACTCATCAAGCCAGACCCCCTTTATGATTTTGGCTAAATTAATCTACAATATAATAAAAACTCTCAAACTGTTTTAAGAAGCAGATGTATAGCTGTTTGCAGTTACAGAATTCTAGCATATAAAGTAAAATTATAAGCTTTTTTAACTTACTTGCACATTTGATGAAGCAGGCCTTCAACAGAAACAAAAGATTTTACAAGAAAAGCATCTGAAGGCAAAATCCTCATTGGACAAGATTCCTGTAGGAGGCGGAGTAAGTGTTTATATCTGCTCTGAATGCTTTTCCTTGTGTCAGATAATGTCCTAAACTTTGCTGAGAACACAGTGTACTTGTTAATGAGACATCTATGCAAGCTTTGCATTTCATTTTGTTCTACGAGTGGGTAACGGGTGCATTTGTGTTTATACTAAGAGTCTTACTCTTGTCAAAATAAAATTGAAGTAACTAAATTAACAAAAACAAACCAAAGAATTTTTTAAAATTTATTTCCGGGGATATGACCATTGCTGATTGGTCTAGCACTTATTACCTATCCCTAATTGCCCTTGAGAAGCTGCTATTGACTTTTTTTAAACCACTGAAGTGTATTTATTGTAGGTGCACCTACAATGCTGCTGGGGAGAAAGCTTTAGGGTTTTGACCCAGTGATAGTGAAGGAACAGTGATGAAAGATCTAAATCAGGATGGTGAATGGCTTGGAGAGGAACTTGCAGCTGTTGGTGTTCCAATAAATTTTCTGCCCTTGTCCTTCAAGATGGAAGTGTTTATGGAACTGGAGGATGCAATGGAATTGGAGGGTGCTAAGGAGCCTAAGTGATTTTTGTTTTTAAACAGTGCATCTTCTAGATGATACACGCTGGTGCTACTGAGCCTCACTGGCAGAAGGAGTGATGTTTGTAGATTAGGTGTCTATTAAGTGGGCTGCTTTATCCTAGATGTTTTCAAGCTTCTTTCAAGTTACTCATCTCCTGTATTCTTAGCCTCTGACCTGCTCTTGTAGCCATTGTTTATATAGTGAGTCCAATACAGTTTCTGGTCAATGGTAATAGTGAGGGATTCAGTGATGGTAATGCCGTTATAACTTCAAGGGATGATGGTTAGTTACTGTTTTGTTTCAGACTTGAGTGACACGAATGTTACTTGCTACTTTTCAACTCAAACCTTGGTATTGACGCATCTTACTGCATTTGAGATGAACTGTTTCAATATCTGACTGTTTACAAAGGGCATCAAACTTTATGCAATCATAAGTGAATATCCCCATTTCTGACTTTTATGAAAGTCATCGATGAAGCCATTGACAAACTTGAGCTGTGATGACTGACCTCCAACAACTACAACAATCATTTATTGCATTAGATATGACTTCAACCAGTGGAGAGTTTCCAGAACACAAACAGAAAATGCTGGAAAAAGTGAGCAGGTCTGGCAGCACCTGTGGAGAGAGAAACAACATGAATGTTTCGACTCAAAAGAATCAATTCTGAAGAAGAGTCTGCTGGTTTCTCTACAATTTTGTTGTTTGAGATTTCCTGCATCTACAGTATTTTGCTTCCTGCTTTTACTTTTCGATGGAGAGTTTCTCCTGACTCCTATTACCTTAGTTTTGCCAGGGCTCCTTAATATCACAGTTGATCAAATGCAGCCTTGATGTCAAGGGCAGTTACTCTCCCTTCATCTCTGGAATTCGGCTGTTTGTCCATGTTTGAACCAAAGCTGTAAAGAGGACGGAGCTGAATGGCCCTGGTGACACCCAAATTGAGCATTGCTGATGTCCCCTTCCATTATTTTGCTGATGATTTAAGCTTAGGCTGCTGTGATGATAATTTGACAGATTTATATTTGTCCTGCTTTTTTGTTTACTTGACTTCCCTGAGCAATTTTCCATATGAAGGGGAGGCGATGGCCTAGTGGTATTATCGCTGGACTGTTAATCCAGACACCCAGATAATGTTCTGGCGACCTGGGTTCGAATCCCACCATGGCAGATGGTGGAATTTAAGTTCAATAAAATATCTGGAGTTAAGAATCTATTAATTAAGACTGTGAATCCATTGCCAAATGTCAAGAAAAACCCATCTGGTTCATTAACGTCCTTTAGAGAAGGAAACTGCCATCCTTACCTGGTCTGGCCTACATGTGACTCCAGACCCACAGCAATGTGGGTTACTCTTAGCTGCCCTCTGGACAATTAGGGATGGGCAATAAATGCTGCCTAGCCAGCGACGTTCTCATCCCATGAATAAAGATTTTTTTAAAAATATTGCCAGGTAAATACCGTTGGTGTAGTTGTACTGGAACATCTTGGCCTTGGACACAGGAAATTTGAGCACAAGATCTCCACACTATTGCTGGCTTAATGTAGGATCCATAGCCTTGACAGTAACTAGTGCCTTGAGCCATTTTTTTTATCAAGTGGAGTGAACCAAACTAACCAAAATTATTTCGGAGATAGTAGGAACTGCAGATGCTGGAGAATCTGAGATAACAAGGTGTAGAGCTGGATGAACACAGCAGGCCAAGCAGCATCAGAGGAGCAGGAAGGCTGACGTTTCGGGAAAAGGGTCTAGGCCCGAAACGTCAGCCTTCCTGCTCGGCCTGCTGT